GATAAATGTGCCGAGTTTGGTAGAAATTGATAGATCGTTTTCCGAGATACACATACGTAAGTGGGCGCTGCCACACCCATTTTCGAAAAATTTCCCTAAGTATCATTTTCCGCTAAGATGCGCTCGGGTATAAAAAGCCGTAAAAAGCGGACCGATGAACATATCATTCCGGAAATTTTCTCATATCGCACACGATCTTCAAAGGTGACACACTCAAAATTATGCGTTTGTCAGAAAATGTGAAAAACTATTTCTTAGCACACGCTAATCATATGGGCAAAGGAGATTTAACTTAGGTTTGGTTAATATAGGTTATTTCGACTTGGGTCACTTACGATTTTTTAAGTAAGAATATTTTGACTAAACATCCAAAAAAAGGGAGTAATCGGTTTCTTTGAACACACACCTCCCACGCCAACTTAACCCAAAAACGCCTTAAAAATACCATCATTACTTTATGAGGTTCCATTAAAAGTCGCAAATATGAGCCAAACTTTTTTTCAGAAATCGATAGAAAATATTCCGGCATTTGATTTTTTTATAGTAAGAAACCGGAGGAAACATAGTGTTTGTCATCAAAGTGTCAATTTTGTCTGCTTATATTTATCAAAATTGTCCTAATTTTTTTCTATTTGGTCCAGTAAGTGCTATATTTTTATTTGAATCTACAAAAAAAAAAAAATGATAGACATTTTTTTCTGGCTTCGGTGGATTCCCTGCCAAATTCGCTAAAAATGTTAAGATTAGATCTAACGAATGGAATGCAATATGCAAGTAACAGTCGCTGACCTTACGCAGAGTTCGTAAAGCCATCAAAATGCTGCTTTAATGATGAAATTGAGCTACGCAAACGAGACAGAATGACCTTTTTGAGAAGTAATATTTTGAGTGGCATGATAAATGTAGAGTTATATTAATTATAAATTTAGTTGAACAGTAGTTTTTTGACTCAAGGATGGAGATGAATGTTTTNGACCGGTAAGTTGGCCACCAAGATCATGCGATTTGACGCCTTTAGACTATTTTTTGTGGGGCTACGTCAAGTCTAAAGTCTACAGAAATAAGCCAGCAACTATTCCAGCTTTGGAAGACAACATTTCCGAAGAAATTCGGGCTATTCCGGCCGAAATGCTCGAAAAAGTTGCCCAAAATTGGACTTTCCGAATGGACCACCTAAGACGCAGCCGCGGTCAACATTTAAATGAAATTATCTTCAAAAAGTAAATGTCATGGACCAATCTAACGTTTCAAATAAAGAACCGATGAGATTTTGCAAATTTTATGCGTTTTTTTTAAAAAAAAAGGTATCAAGCTCTTAAAAAATCACCCGTTAGTTCGTTTCCACCAAGCCTTAACTACAGTTTATGCCTATTGAAATGGGATATTATAACTTGAAACGGGTAATTTCTCAGGTTAAGTACAAGCAAACATAACCCCATGTCTCCACCTTCTACAGATTCTGTTATAAAAGCGGTGGTAAGACAGAAATGTCAGGTGGAGACCGCAAATTTCCACTGTTAAACCATATCTGTCTTTTACCATCGCTGACCTCTTAACTGTAGTTAAGCTTTTGGTGGAAATAGGCTATTATTCCTAAGTGATGGATTTTTGCGAACTCTGTCTTAAAATAACCCACTCAAAAAAGCTAAGGGAGGTTTGAAAAACGGAAATTAAAGCTAATTGTAAAGTTTTTTTTTTCGCGCTATCTATCAGGATTACATGACATCCGTAGCTGCCAAGATATCTAAAAACTAGTGCATCAAAGCTTCAAAATGTTTTTTTTTTATAAGTCTAAATACGAAATAAAATCGATGAAAAATTTGGAGTTTTTTTCTCCCTTAGTATTTTTGTGTAGTGTATTATCCGCTTATATTGGCCAAGCCAACATTTGTATTTTTTACTATCGAAACCAGATACATATATTTTCGTGGACCCCTACTTACACCCATATTTTTCACGCCAACGTAGACCCGGTCGAGTGCCCCGTGGAACCCTGATGGTCCACCCGGACCACTTTGGGAAATCACCGGGCTAAACCATTTAAATATGAAAATTGAATATTCAAAAAATTGTATTTCTTCCGCCGAAATTACGTATTTTGGCTGACACACTCGGAAGCAGCTTCGTGCTAATACCATGATGTCCTCTGTTTATGTTTCTAAGGAGTGTATGCAAATCGTTTTGGCTTTGACAACTCAAAGATAGGTTGTAAATTGGTAGTCCACGGCATCATCTTATGCCTGTGAAACGACTGGTCGGTTGATCTACTAGAATGCTCACTTGCTGGTTTGATTTTTCGCTCCACTTGGTTATTACATATATATGTAGAAATGTATGTAAATATGTACATATCTAGATACTTGTATATGCATAAAAATGGACGAAGAGCTTTGTCGTTTTACGGCACTTTAAAATTCAAATATTGCAAATTTGTTTACAATTGAGAGCATTTGATTGCAAATTTTGCTTATTCAACTCAACTTTAATTGAATATTTAATTTACATATGTAAATTGTTGCCTGACAGTATTTGGTTTTAGTCATTTTAATAATTCCATTGCTTTTGCTATTCAAAACATATTTGACATGCAAATTTAATAACATATGAATTGCTCGTATATAAATGATTAGCATGGATTGAAAAAATATGCCCACATGTTCCATGCAATCATTGCAATTTTTGAAGCTATTTAACTAGTATGTATAATACATTTTTATTTATATTTGTATTCGTTAAATAAATATTTGCCTAGTAAGGGGGCGGGCGCAACATCCTTATTCTTTACGCATTTAAGCCATATTTTTTTTGTGCTTGGAAAAATGAACCGCACTTAAAGCTGAGCACTAAGAACGGCAGCAAGCACTAAATGTATACATACATGTATATACATAGTCGTCACTCCAAAAAGAATTTTTTTATTTAAAGATTTCTGTCCAACATTTTCAGCAGCGGTACATAATCATGACTACCAGTAACACACTTATTTGGTCTGTTTCGGTATTCTGGACAGCAGCTGTGTAAGATTCTCGGTTCTGAGTTTATCCAGCATGAATTCACGACGAATGCAACGTTTCAGCTTCCGATCGTCTATCTTCGAAGCAACCGATTACCGCAAAACAAATGCAAGCCATATTTTTCATATCCAGCAGCTGTGAATGGAATATAATTTATAAGAAAATCGACTCCGTCATCATCGGCGGGCTTATCTTCTCCACAGCTTTCAGCGCTGCTACCATTCAGTAGGGTGGAAAAGTGTTTCCTCCATAATTTAAGTACGTTCTGGAAATCAGTCACTGAGTCTCTCTTGTCTTGTGGTGAACAAATCTGACACCGAATTTGCGCTCCTTTAGATGGCAGCTGTAGTAGATGGTGCAAGGCATTTCTTGCCTCGCCCCGTCCAACGAATTTCTTAGATATTGGTGAACAGACGCTGCAGACTTCCGTGAGCCCTTAACCGAATAAGTCGAAGCTCCCTCTCTTTCTGCCGTGACCCAACGCTCCATTTGGATTGGTTACCGCATATCGCATATGGGTTGCTCATTGAGTATAGTCGTGCAACTGTAACTGCATACCCAGCACAACGATACATACAGGACATGAAAAAAACATCCACATATACAAGTATAGAGAGTGTCCTAGAGCACCCATATTGAAAACCGCAAAAATTTTACCTACTAGATCGGGGATGCTCTATGTTTTGGTGGTATTACCGACTTCCGTTTTAGACCGGTCGAAAACGGAGTTGGTAATATCACCAAAAGATAGAGCATCCCCGATTTAGTAGGTAAAATTTTTCGTTACATAATATGTCCTTTACCGCCTGTCACACAAAAAGCACTTAATTAGGTTAAGCAATTTTTGAGAAGATCATTTAAAAATGAATGTGAGTTGCTTTAAAATAAAACAAATTTAATGGTGATCTGACATAAGGATTATAAAGGATTTCATATATACATTTGAAAAAATGTATGAAATGAAAATATCGTGAAAATTGTTGGAAAAAATTCTGTTGAAGAGAAAAAACATTAAAAGTGTTAAAAGCTTAATATTTCTTAAAAATTTTGTACCTTCAATGCAATGTTATTAATATACATGAAAAAAATAAAAAAAATTTTTCTGTATGAATCCAAATTCAACACCAAAATTGAGAAACAAATGTCTGACGTAATCGAATGATTAATAACCTCGATCATAGTTTGAAACCTGATTGGATTTAAATTTGTCTTAAGAATGCAGCTTCACACTAGGTGTTTCAGGTATTCAGCGGAAAACCCGAAAAGACCTAAAGCACCTGGTCTAGAATTCTACTCTAAATGCAATTGACTTGCAATAAACGTAGCTTGACTTACTTCACAATACCGAACCGACCCTTGCTAAAAATACTCATACACATTTACCATAGCATCTGCAATATGCCCTTTTCTATTTCAATTTATAACTAGCACATTTTGCGTCCGATGCAGTTATGAATTAGACAAAGTGACTTAAGCTTCCTGGCACACTTGGCAAGCGGTGACAAGCGCTCCGCTCAATGCTTTTCAAAGGCAATTCTTTTTACTTTAGGGCAATAAAGTTGCCATAATGAGCTCCAATAACTCACTGCAAAATGATGTGTGTGTGTCTGTGTACACTTAACTGCATACCTCTATGTATTTGCCAACAACTGCAAAATTATTACTATCATCAATAGAACCGAACCTCTCGAATGCACAGCAAGTAGTAGTTCTTTATTTTTACATTTCTCCCCCTCCCCCTCCAGTTTTTGCTGTGACTGCAATTCGCATTCATGCGACATCATTGCTGCGCTGTAAACCCAGTTTACTCCCTTTGAATGGTTGCATTGCAGTTTTGCTTTGATTTATCTAAAACTTTATTGCTACTTACTTACTTTTAGGTTTTTTATCATACTTTTTCGGTCATTTAGTACGCACATAAACGTACCTTTAATATTTTTGTGAGTCACATATTTATCTGTTTGTTTTCTACTTTTATATTTGCAGTGAACTTCACAAATAAAGCTCAAATATGGTGATAAGCAATCCAGATGCCGTGGCCGCCGCCACCACCACAAATAATGCTGGTGGCGAGGCGGGCAGCATAGCGCATCCATCGGGTATTCCACGAGATAGAATAGATAATATAATGAGCGGTATAGCGAATACGGGCGATGTGAAAATGAATAACCACCGAAAGAAGTTGCGTCAAAGGTGAGTTTAGCTTTTTGGCTTATATATCCAGTGTTGGTTAAGTAAATTTCTATGATGATAAAAAAGTTTTACTTTTACGAGTAAAATTTAAATTTATGACTTTTTTATGTTTCCTAATTCTTAGATTCGATATTATTAAAAAGTTAGGTCAAGGCACATACGGTAAAGTGCAATTAGGTATAAATAAGGAAACCGGCCAGGAGGTGGCTATAAAAACCATAAAAAAGTGCAAAATAGAGGCTGAGGCGGATTTGGTGCGCATACGACGTGAGGTGCAAATTATGAGCTCCGTACAGCATCCTAATATTATACACATTTATGAAGGTAAGTTTGAAATTATTTTTATGAAGAACTTGTTGCTAACATTAATATCCCTTTCATAAAAATGTGTAGGAACATTATGTTTTTAAATTTTTTTTTAGCTTAAAACAGTTAGGGAACTCACAAAGTACCGTAGTGAGTCATATTATCAAAATGTGCTGAAATTCGTAACAGTTAAGCAATAGTTAAAAGGTTTTGTGGTGTGCGTAAATCACCACAAGACCACGGAACTTAAAATATGTATGTATTTATGTAAGAACCAACCTGACTCCTTGCTGAAAATAGAGGCATGTGTTGTTGTTGTTGTAGCGGTTACTTAGCCCCGCCAGGATGTGTTCTACTCCAAATGGGTTGGCACAAAGGGCGAGGGCCGTTAGGTGAGTGGGGTTTAGGGGGCATGTGAAGATGTGTTACGAGTCATGAGGTGACTCATCGCATGCCGGGCACTTATTGGGCACATCTGTATTTATTCTGCTCAGTTAGGACTTCAGCCTGCTGCAGTATCCAGCGCGAAGTTGAGCTATGGTGGTGTGAGCCTTGTCCACGGACTGCATTCACAGGTCGGTAGTCCATGTGAGTCGAGACCGACTCCCTGCGAATGGCGTTTATGGCCTGTCGTTACGCTGTTGGGTCCAGAGGTTGGTTTATGAACTTCTAGTTCGGTTAGATGACTTTTGACATGATCCTGCGTCCTGATAGTCCCCGGCAACCACACGGGCGCTGCATAGTTTCGAATCAGCCGGAAAATTGCTTTGTATGTTGCCAGCAACGTTTCTTTGTCTTTGCCCCAGGTGCTGCCGGCTAGCGGCTTGAGGACCTTGTTGCGCGGCTCTCTACTCTATTGACAATTGCGGTTGTATGCGCCGGGGAGCAAACTATCGCAGGTAACTGTGACAATTTTTGGGCTGTTCACTGTCGGAATTGGTGCTCCATCAACATAAATTCCCAGATATAGTCTAACCTCCTTCGTCCAGATGCCTGTGAGAGCTTCGTAATGTAGTATATAATCAGAAGCTAAAGGACACCTACCTGTGGAATCCCTGTTTTCCGGGTTTTCTGGTTATATCTCTAAAAATTACCGACAAATGTCGACCACTCAAATAATTCGCTGACGACCGTTTGAGTTCCTGTGGGAGAAAGGGATCCTCAATGTCTTCTAATCGCGTGAAGTGGCTGACGGTATCAAACGCCTTTGACAGATGCCCTGTCCTCTCACAAGCACGGTTTCGATTTAGACCACGAGTTATCTGGGTATTTATGGCGTTAAGTGCTGTTGTTGGGCTGTGAACTTTACGAAACGCATGCAAAACTCATCTCAGGGGACAATGTTGAGGATAAAAAGCTGTACACTCATTGACGCTCAGGTTTATACCTCTTAGACGTCTGTTTTCTGGACCATAACTCTTCACACAACTTCAAGTTTTTTTCGCTAATAAAACCAGCTGAGACAATGAACGACGAACTCCCTGGAACAGAAAGATAGCCACAGAAAGCACGCGTGGTTACCAAAACTAGTGTGAGATTGCCTTCAGCTTTCATAATTTCTGTGCCGGGACATAGTGTAATCATGGGTAATAAAGTAGCCGATATTCTCGCCAAGACGTGGTCTGGATTCACACAGGGAGCTCCGATTAACGAAATTACTATATCTATGTCAATAAGGAATTCTCCATGTCGAAAATATCAATAAGGGGAATCTCCTGATTAGGCGCGACTACTAACACTAAGCGCCTAAATGCATGCTATGCGCTGCTGTATGTGCGAAAATTTGCTTGAGGCGATTTATGAAATATTTTTCATATACACGTCGCAATTGTCTTATAATAAAACTTTCTTAAGTTATAATTTGATGGAAACTCAAAATATGCTCGGTCTAGTCTGATGGATCCTCCGGGCAATGCTTCTCGAGTTTCTTAGGGTGGTAAATGATGATTACCAGTGACCGCAGTGCCTACCCACAATTTTCGATTTCGATTCGGTTCGTTCGATTTTTTTTATACAAATACGTGCAAATATCCTGGTCTACACTATCGCGTAGTTATTCACCTTCATTATACAAGGCACAATGCAAGAATTGTTACAGATTTTCACACCTGCCACTGCAGGGTAATTTTTTATTACCTGGTCAGTGGAGGTTTTGTCAGTTTGGCAGAGCACATTATGTGCCATTAGAAAATGCATCTTAGAATTAAAAATAAATGTCCTGGTATACTGCCAAGCATTCTCTCGAAGGTCCTTGATGCTACATGGAACCAGGAAGACCCTGTCCTTGATCAAAGTGCACCTAGTCACTTGTTTCCTTATCTAAATAATGGCCTAATATACGTAGGACTCCTCGAGCTTTACACAGGCTATCAGCGGGCTAAACCCCTAGCAAAACTCCTTCAGTTCGCTTCACAAATATATTTTTTTTTTAATATAAAATCCAAGTCTAATCCTTGGTCATTTTATAAACAAATAAATATGTAGGAAATAATTAAACTTTGGTTGGATTTTTTTCTAAGGATGACAACGGTGATAATCAAAAATTAAGAAAATCTCTATATATCTTCGTTTTGCTCTATTATTCTCTCCTTTCGAGCATCCAAACTTCATTATAATTAACATAACATAAGTAAATAATATTATGTTTATAGTTCTCTTGATTTTATTTTTTATTTTATTTATTTGTTTTTCTAAAAAAAAAAAAAACAAATCTGTTATAAAATGACTTCCTTTCAGTATTCGA